TTCAACTGTTTTGTTTACATTCGGATTATCTCGCCCAATCATTAATAAACGTTTAATATCAATTCCATCTGTTCTAAAAGAATTCACAATACTATCCCTAATAATATGAGCAGGTGCATGACCATGTAAAACAGATTTATAATAACGAGCTACAACACCTTGATTCTTCATACTCCAATGCTTTAAAAAAATATCCAATTGTTTATTATTTTGATGATTTTTTTGTTCATCAAAGCATAATACGAATCTTTCACATTGTTTAATATCTTCAACAAGATTACGATGAAAAAATGGCTCTAAGTCGTGTGAAACAACATATGATAACTTAGTTCGTTCCATTTTCAATTCGTGTGCAATTTGTGAATCTGGAAACATTCTTCTAAATAGATCACCAGATTCATCACATGAAAGATAACTATATCCTTGTCGTGCTGCATTCATTGTCCATAATGTTTCTGCACTTGTTACTTGATCTGAAAAGTTAATATTCTTTGTTTGCGGTGCCAGTGTGATCATGGAATTGTTTGATGATGCATAACCTGATTCTGCTTGAGCATGATTCGGTTCAGTTTGAACAATAAATGTACTATTTTCCTTTATTAATTTTAAACTATCACGATGTTTTTTATTGTTCATATGACATTCAATAGATTACCACCCTTTATTTCCACAATATAAATCGCCGCTTTTACATAATGTACAAACGAATGACGATGGTTTTGCACCTTGCTTCAACCACCGATTAACAGAAGTACCATCTGCATCTACTTTTTGTAACCATGAGCTATTAAATTTTGTTGCGTTAAGAGGCATTTAACAAAAATATAGTTATTTAACAATAGTTTTCTTGAAGTGATTGAATATACTAGGTGGGTAAAAATATTATTCCAGGGCGGTAACACTATGATTTCAAATAGAAGACATAATGAATTTTATATCAAATGAAAGCTCGTCAAAAATGGGGTTTATTGATACTAAATAGTGAGGGTTATAAAAACTTTTCAATATCGAACTTAAGAAACTTTCAGAAATTTTATACCTTTTTTGGGATGGGAAAGTAAGGTGCCAGTAATTCAAAAATCGAGTAAAATGTTTTTCTTGGATATTTTTACATGATTCGATAGAGATCGTCGAGATCTACAAAACTATATATATTAAAAGATTTTTAAACAGAGTTCTTGGGTTAAAACACACTGAAAACTGTCTAAAGGATGTACCAAACAACCCGCGTTTTTAGAGTGTTTATAGGGAAAAAAGTGGTCTTGTTTTACATTAAATTCAGCTGTTTTCCATTAATATCCTTATGTGAGGTGTTTGAAAATACACTCATTCGTTGTAGCATGAAAAACTGCATCGAATGTGTATATTTCGAAACGCCTGAGAAAGTAAAAATAATTAAAAAAAGGTTAATTTTATTGGAACATCCAGTGTGTTTCTTCAATATCAAAAATATGAGCTTTTTTAACGTTTTTTAAGAGAGCTTCCATGAGCTGATTGAGCATCGTTTCAATATACAAGGCACTCGATAAAATTTTTTTTTTCGATTTTTTTTGCTCATTTGAAACTTCAATGTCTAAAACTACTAACCCTAAAATTTCAGGTTCTAATACCCTTTCTATGGAAAGTTAGTCAATGCCGACTTTTAGCACTATCACACCTTTTTGGAAAAAAAAGAGAAAAAATATTCTATAAAAGATGTACCAGCTTACATTTCAACAGCTTGTCGAAAATTTTCACGATATACATGAGAAGATAGAGAATTAAAAGCTGAACAAAATAAGCTATTTTGATATAATATAATCTCTAACAATTCTAGTTTTATA